ATATTTTGAACTGAAAGTTATTGGAATAATGAGCTGACAGTAATGTCGCTTATTCAACAGGGAATGTGAGATCTCAGTGAATGGTGGGGCCAATAGCCTCAGTAACCATAGAGATTTAAGGATTGAAAAGGGAAGTGAATGGCAGAAGAGAGACTTATATCCAGATTCTCGTCCTGTGGACTCGCAAGGTCAGCTCCAGACTAGAACTGTTTTTTCCCTTAATTGACAGGATATAACGGACCATGTGGTCCTCTGCCATCGATAGGGGGCTTCTATTATTGCGCTTTCTACATTTTATTTTCCCTGCAGGAGGTCCATGCCCCTACCATGCTATGAATGACAAGGATTTGGTGCACAGTCAAATTGGTACAGGAAGAGTACAAAATTTTGGATTAATGGGAGAGACAGAGATAGTAAAATCAGTGCTTCCCTTAAATACATATTTTAAATTCCCTAGGGCAAACATTAGAATTGAGACACTACAATGTAACTTCCCCTTTGGAACCAGAAAAACTAAGCAGAAACAGAATTTTCAAAAATATTTTTGCATTGATAAGTTGTAATCCTAACTTTCTCCAGGAAGTCTAATGCATTAATTGAATGTCAAATGCAGTATCTTCATGAAACTTGCTTGGGTGGAAGGTTGCCTTAAAGGCATGCTTATGTTCTCATGGGGAAGCCCAGCTTGGAGCATTTGTAGGCCCGTGGCTCAAGAAAGAACTGTAATGTTTGACATTTTAACTTTATTTCTTTATTTTTCTATTTTTATGCAAAGAAGACAGTAGTGCTGAACTCTCTAACTTGTTTCTTTATTTTTCTATTTCTGTAACTAAGATTTTGTACCTAGGTACTTTGTACTTTAGATAGTGCCATATGTGGCAACAACAATGCACACTTTTCACTGTACTCTTGCACCCTGTACTTGCGTACATGTGACAATAAAACCCAAATTTGAATCTAAATCTAATAGTGCAGCAGTAAAATTGTGACCTTTTCCCATTTCTTAAAAAGCCTTCTCTTGAATATACCAGCTCATTCTTCAGCTAAATAAGTATTTGAGGAAGAGGATTTCAAACCTGAGACAATGATCATGGTTCACTGGGCAACAGTGATCCTCCTCTCCTATACACTGCAGCGATTTGGACAAACTAATGCAAGAATTTAAAATGAACAGAACTACATGCAGTGGTTTCCTTTGCAACATCCTATAAATCCAGTGGCAAGAAAAGAAGCCCAGTAATGTCTTCCTTTCCCAACATCAATGTATTAATCACTGAAAACCAGCTTGGTGGAGTGGGACATGTCGCTTGAATATCTGACATTAAAACGTGGTTGGACTTTTTAGACCTTGGTCAATACAGCATTTTTCCATAAGGACAGTGGAACAACTTTAAAGATGACCTCGATCCTCCTTGAAGAGATCAAGCTTCCCTGTGATACATGTGAGTCTCTGACCCGTGACCAGCCAAAATTCATTTAAAAGGAACCAGAACATCAAGAGACTTCGTTTGAAACTAGCCAAGAAGTTGTCCAAGTGTCAGGGAGAGTGCACAAGCCTCCAAAAGAATTTATCTACCAACTCTCCAAGCACCACTTGCCCTACATGTGGCAGAGTTTGCAGACAGTGCAATGAACTAATCTCAGAACACCACCAACTGGAGTGGAACAAGGCATTTTCAATCCTGAGGGACAACCTGAAAACAGAAAAGGAGCTTATCCAGCAACTTATGATGCTTCACAATTCACAGGCATCAACACCTCAATACTAGACATTTTAAGACTTTCTAATCACAAAGCTTCTGACCATTAAACTTGCCATCATTTAGGCATCACAATTTGGGCTTTAGATTTTGGTGGTCATAAATATTGACATTAATCATCACCTAAAAGTCAAAAGTCAAAACATCTTACAGATATCATGATAGCACCTTGTAATTATTAACTTGTGATTTAAACGAATTAAACCTATAATGTTCATCAACATTTATTTGTGGTAAATCAGCTTTGACCATTATATTTAGGAAACTTTACAATTTGGACCTATGTTTTGTTGAAGATTTTGTATTAAAGATATCCCAAGGATCAACTGAATAGCATACCCTATGAGTGAGTTCTCACAGGGAGGCCTGGGGCCCCTGAGGAAGGACAGAAGGTCTTCTTCCTCATGGTTAATGGGAGGAGACAACCTCTCTGTTTAGTATCATCTCCCTCTGCCTCTCTTCCTCATTTCTCATACCTCGGGTTCCTCCCTCAATTAACTACCTTCTTTGAGGGTCTCACTATACTCTATATCCACACCTGTCTGCTGGGCTCGATTATGGAGAGCACAGCAAACCACTGTAATGGCAGAGACCCTGGCAGTTGGATGTTGAAAGATTGCACCTGACCGCTCCAAGTACCAGATCCAGGGCCCTCTGAGCTTGTGATGCCCCATCAGTTGTGAATCTGACGTGCTGTCCAGCCCTGGAGAAGAGGGCACTTGCCCCCTGGGTAACGTGCCAGTGCACAGCCACCTGCGAGATGTGACAGAAGTCTCCACTGAACAGAACACAGATGGCTGTTGGCAATAGCTGAGAGAGCAGCTGTCTTCTTTGACACTGGTTCTCAGTTTTTTGCAGGTCTCTTCACTTCTGCCTGTAGATCCTGTGCTCAAGGCTTTATCTCTGTCTTCACTGTGTCCCATTTCTTTCTCTCCTCCAGCCCCCTAATGCCTAGTGGCCGGCACGGTGGCTCAGTGGTTAGCACTGCTGCCTCATAGCACCAGGGACCTGGGTTTGATTCCAGCCTCAGGCAACTGTCTGTGTGGAGATTGTACGTTCTCCCCGTGTCTGCGTGGGTTTCCTCCAGGTGCTCTGGTTTCCTCCCACAGTGCAAAGATGTGCAGGTTAGGTGGATTGGCCATGCTAAATTGCCCATAGTGTTCAGGGATATGTAGATTATGTGGCTTATGCAGGATGCATCTGCACAGGACGCTCTGAGTGTCGGTGTGGACTTGTTGGGCCAAAGGGCCTGTTTCCACACTGTAGGGGTTCTATGGTTCAATGCCCTGCGCTCTGCCCTCCTTATGAAGACTGCTGCTCCTCATCCCCAGTGACCTTGATTTCTTGAGAGTGCAAACCCATTTGAATTACAATAAGCATATGTCTTACCTTTCAAAGGATTTCTTTCCTCTTTGACAAGTCGCCAACATGGTCCTTGCCTGCCTTCAGCTGATGTGAGGCAGACAATTCCAAAATGTTAGCTGTCCCCAGCAAAATGCAGAGACTTACTTGAGACAGGCCTTCAGTTAGCCCTTGATAGGCTTAATCAGTTTGTTTGGAAGCAGGGATGAGTTTAGGGGCTTGTGCTCCCATTTGTGCCCCTCACATATGATACAAAAACTGAGGTAAGAAAGTCTGGGGCATGACATCACTGTGATTCTTTCTCGCATTTTCTACCAAAGTTGGAACTTACACCTCAACCAACTAGTCTACTTAGAATGTCCCCCCAAATGGTGCACTCTTTTTGTGGCAGGGATGTGCAGTACAGCACCATGCCTGCTACCTCAGAGGCAGAGTGAAAGCGGCCAGGGGCCCTATGGACAGTCAAGACAGGCTGGGCCAGATGAATGGTGAATTTTCGGCCCTCTAGCCCTTCCCCCTCATACCTATTCTCCATGCCACCTCAAGTTTGCCATCAATTCCCATGACCCCGGGAATCACCATGCAAACTCATGATCCTTCAAGATAAATATTGACAAAAGAAATCATTAAGAAAAAAAACCTGATACAACAACCTAAAGTCAACAGTTCTCTCCAGATGTCAAACAGATTCCTATTGGAACAATTCATTTAGGTTCTAAATTAACAGGCATGGTGTGTTTGGAGTCATTGTTATTGATATTTTAACTGTCTGTCTGATTGATTGGCACTCTGATAGGACTGTAGGAACAGGAGATTTTCAAAAAGATTATTTATAAATGGGTGTTTTATTTTCTCTGTTCCACACATGCCATTGTTACAATATGGCTTATTTGTTCTGTACCTATTATACAGTGGATGAACGTACATGGAATACCCATAAGATGTCAAGGGGTTCTAAGATTCATGGGGGTGAGTAACAGGTCATAACTGGCACTGAATTGGAATGGATGAGGTATGGAATGAGCATGGGTAAGAACTCTTGATGTTATCTTCCAAACATTTCCAGAATCCATGGGTTCACAAATACTCAAAATCGACTTCACAAAAATTGCACAGCCATGAGATACCTACCCCAACAATGGTGCCAGGCAGGCAAGTAGAGCAGGGAGTGGGTTTGCTACTGCACATACTGATCCTATGTCAGCCAAAATTGAAGGCGTTTCAAATGGGGAGTCAGTCGTAGAGCCTGCCATTTTAAATGGCTCCAGAGTTGTTACAACATTGCTAAGATCCAGCCTAAATCTCCATAGTCAACAAGGTAAGTTGGAAACAGTTATAATAATTTAGATATATTAATGGATGAACTTACATGATTGTCCAGAAAAGATAATTAATTAGATAGAAGGCAGGTGTGTTATAAAGAATAACTGTAGATTTTTTTTGCCAGTTCCCTTCTTGAAAAACTGTAAAACTCCTGCTGGGTTTTACGGTGCTGTGTAACTTGAAGTACATCTTCATGTCAGCTTATAATGTGATCATATTTATTCAGGGGCTCTTTAACCCTGACCCATTAAGCTTTCACCCAATACTCTTAAATGTCACTTCACTGCAGGAATCTATGAAACATGATCATGATCAGGAGGCAGAAACCGTTAGCTGATTTTCTGCATCTGAGAGAAACTTACATTTATTTTAAAAACACAATTGCAAATGTTCAAGGTAGGGCAAAACCTGTAAAAGCCGTGTTTTTGGCAAATAAATGCACTATGTGTCAACAGATCTTATTCTGTCCTCTAAGACAAATATTGTGCTGTTTTCCAAAATCAGAACCTAATCTTGGCTTCTCACATCATGTGTAATTTACTACAACATACTCACTCTTTAGGTGGGTTTAAGTCCTCTGGTCTTGTTTCAAAGAATTGGAGAACTTCGTCACACTGCGAGATATGGGCTGGTAGTCGGATGAGGGCCTGCAAATAATTAGCACACAATGAGATGAGAACTCTCAGATGGTTTATTTAAAAGAAACCCAATTCTTTCCAAATGGAGGACCTGAGCCTAATTTATTAAAATACAGGTTTATGTTATCTATATAAAATTAAGTATCCATCTTCTCTCCTGTAGATCCCAAAAAAAATCATTCAAGAAATAGACTTTTAGCTTCATTTCTGGTTCCCCATTGTGAAAATAATGACCTGCCAAAAATATCTAATCAATATATATCAGTATATCACATAGCAATACGGTTTTAAAATAATATATAAATGCACTTTGTTTCAATCACTACAGAACAATTAGTTTCTCAACTAATATTAAATACACGCATCATACTACTTTCAAGTAAGTACAAAGGAAGTGTTCAAAAGATAACCATAAATCACCAACACTGATATTTCTTCTTTCCTCTGACTAGAAGGGTGGTAGCAATAATGAGAACTTTTTTACACAGATTGTGGAATTTGAATTCAATACAAATCTGGAAACAACAATCCAATGATGAACATGAAACTATTGTCGACTGCCCACCTGACTAACTAATGTCCTTTAGGGAAGGAATTTTTATTTCTAAATTTCAATGTTTTTTCCCTGATCCTATCGTAAAACACCACAATATAAACAACCTTCCATTAAAACTCCAGGAGGCCTCAGTTACCTGCTGTCTAACACATTGTTTTAAACTCATGGTTCCGGAAAGATTGACTTTGTTATTTATTAAACCCCTCCAGCAAAAAAAAATCATGTGCCATTAATTTGAAATTCAAATGAAAAGAATATACTGGTATTAATGCTAGACTACTAATCCAGAGACTCAGATAATGTTCTGGAGACCTGGTTACAAATCCTGCTATGGCAATGAAGATCAGGAATTAAGAGATTCATGATGAGCATGAAACCGTTGTTGATTATCAGAAATACCTATTGGATTCACTAATGCCCTCTAGGAAAGGAAACTGCCGTCCTTACTGGGTACCTTCTACATATAACTCCAGACCCACAGCAATGTGGTTGACTCTTAACTGTCCTCTGAGAAATTAGGGATGGGCAAAACATGCTGGCATAGCCACTGATACCTACATCCTATGAATGAACAAAAACAAAAATCACGTGTTTCATCACAGTGTCTAATTCAAGTATTTTAAATTTATATAGGGGCAATTATGCAGGAATGAATGTCAAGTTAGCTAAAGCGAACTGGTAAACTAAGGGATGGGTCAATAGAGGCGCATTTGGAGATATTTAAAGAGATATTTCAAGATACATAGAACAGAACAAGAAAAGTTCCAAAGGACAGACCCATCTTTCATGAACCAGATCCAAAAAGATGGTATAAAACTTGAAAAAAAAGCATAACTGCACAAAAATAGGTCAGAAAATTGAATGGAATATAGAAAGAAAATTGACTAAATGATTGAGGACATGGTGGGGGGAGGGGTGAAATTTTGAATATGAGAGAAAGCTAGCCAGATATATAAAAACAAATACAAAGACATTCTGTAGATATTTTAGAATGAAGAGAGTTAAAGTCAGTGGTAGTTCTATCACAAATCAATGTGGGTAATCAGAGATTCTTTTAAGTTTTTACAGCATGGAAAGAGGGCCTATGACCCATCATGACCATGCCAGCCATCAAGAATTTACCTATTCTAATCCCATTTTCCAGTACTTGGCCTATAGCCAAATGCTATGGTGTTTTAAGTGCTTGTCTAAGTAGCTCTTAAATGTCTTGAGGGCCCTGCTTCTACCACTCTTTTAAGTAGTAAATTCCAGATACCCACCACTCTCTGCTCTGAACACTATGACTCCAGTTCCTGAAGCCTTCTACCAAGGGAAAACGTTTCTCCCTATCGCCTATCCATGCCCCTCAGAACTTTGGACTCCTCCATCAGATCTCTCCTCAGTGTTCTCTACTCTAAGAATAACCCCTGCCTACTTAGTCTCTTTTCATATCTGAGTTGCTCCAACCTAGGAAACATCCTACTGAATCTCCAATGCACCCTCTCTAGCTTAATTACATCCTTCCTAAAATGTGGCAACTGTTGATTAGTAAAGGGATCAAGGGTTATGGGGAGAAGGCAGGAGAATGGGGTTGAGAAACATTCCAGCCATGATGGATATGGCAGAGGAGTCTCAATGGACCAAATGGCCTAATTCTGCTCCGATATCTTAGAGATCTTGTTCTTATGACCAGAAATGCTCAGAGTAGATACTGTGGCCTAACTAATGTTATATACAGCCCCATTATAATCTCCTTGTTCTTGCATTCAATACCTTGTGTAAAAAAGGCATGTTTTGCACCCGTCATATGTCATCTAACTCTCTGCTGCCTTCAAGTATTTATGGACCCGCACACCAAGGTCCCTCTGATGCTCTGTTCTTCCTGATATTCTACCATTCAATGTGTACTCACCCTTGCCTCGTTAGTTCTCTCAAACTGCATCACCTCACATTTTCAGAATTAGATTCCATTTGCAACTGTTCAACCCATCTATTCTGTTATGAAGTTACTTACCACACCACCAATTTTCATGTCATCGGCATGAGAATGGAAGAGAGGAAGAAACTCAAAATAACTGGAAATCATTTGCAAATTGCTGGAGCTATAGGAGACAAGTCTCTGGGTCCTGATGGACTTCATCCTAGGGTCTTAAAAGTAGTGTCCAGTGGGATAGTTCAGGCATTGGTTTAATTTTCCAAATTTCTCCAGACTTCAAGAAAGGTCCTTTAAAATTGAAAATAGCAAATGTAATTCCTTTAATCAAAAGCGGGGTGGAGGTGGGGGAAGAGACAGAAAGCAGTAAACTGCAATCTCTTAACATCTCTCATGGTGAAGTTTTAAAAGCTATTAAAGACATTATGGCAGGGCACTTGGAAATGTTTAAGGTAAGCAGGCAACATCAACACTGTTTTATGAAAGGAAAATCGTGTTTAATCATTTGTTGGAGCTCTTTGAGGAAATAAGATGTGCTGTAGATAACAGGGAACCAGTGCCTATACTAAGAGATAGTAAGAACTGCAGATGCTGGAGTCAGAGACAACACAGTATTGACCTGGAGAAACACAGCAGGCCAGGCAAGAGGAGCAGGAAAGTTGACATTTTGAGTTGGGACCTTTCTTCAGAAATGGGGAGGGAGAAGGGAGCTCAGAAATAAATAGAGAGAGGAGGGGTGGTGCTGGGGAAGGTAGGTGGAATGGTGATAGGTGAGTGCAGGTAGGGAGTGGTGGGGATTGGTCAGTGAGGTGGGAGGAGTGGATAGGTGGGACAGAAGATGAACAGGTTGTATCAGGTCAAGGAGGCAGGGATGAGAGGGAGGCTTGGACATGGGATGAGGCTGGGGGTGGGGAGATTTTAAAACTGGTGAATTCCATGTTTAGGCCATTGGGCTGTAGGTTCCTGTGGTGGAATATGAGGTGTTGTTCCTCCAGTTTGTGTGTGGTGTCATTGTGACACTGGAGGAGGCCCTGGATGGACATGTCACCCAGGGAGTTGGTGGGGTCGGGAATTAAAATGGTTGGCGACCGGAAGGTGTTGTCGTTTGTCGTGTACAGAGTGCAGGTCCGCTACAAAATGGTCTCCAAGTCTACGCTTGGTCTCATAGATGTAGAGGAAGCCTCATGGGGAGCAGCGGATACAGTAGACCAAGTTGACGGACGTGCCGGTGAACTCCTGACTGATATGGAAAGTTTGTTTTGTGCCTTGAATGGAGATGAAGGGGGGGAGGTGTAAGAGCAGGTGTAGCACTTTCTGCAGTTGCAGGGAAAGGTGCTGGTGGTGGTGGGGTTAGTGGGGAGTGTGGAGCGGACGAGGGAGTCGCGGAGAGAGGTCCCTACGAAACGCAGATTGGGGTTGGGAGGGAAATATCTCATCAGTTGTGGGGTTGGATTGTAGGTGGCAGAAGTAGTGGGGAATGATACACTGGATGTGGAGGTTGGTGGGATGATATGTAAGGACAAGGGGGTTTCTGTCTCTATTTTTGTTGGGGGGAGGGGATGTGAGGGTGGAAGTATGGGAAATGCAAGAGATGCGTTTGAGGGCATTTTCGATTACCGGAGGGGGTAGTTATGGTCCTTGAAGTAAAGTACACCTGGGATGTTCGGGAGTGGAACGTCCCATCTTGGGAGCAGACGCAGCAGAGATGGAGACATTGGGAGTATGGGATCACATTCTTGCAGGAAGGAGGGTGAGAGGTGGTGTATTCCAGATAGCTGTGGCAGTTGGTCGGCTTGAAATAGATATCAGTTTTGAGGTGGTCACCAGAGATGGAGACAGAAAGGTGCAGGAAGGAGAGGGAGGTATTAGAGATTGTCCAGGTGAATTTGAGGTTGGGGTGAAAGATGTTAGTAAAGTTGATGAACTGTTCAAGCTCCTTATGGGAGCACGAGGCAGCACGAGGCAGCACCGATGCAGTCATCAATGTAGCGGAGGTAGAGGCGGGGTATAGTGCCAGTGTAACAGCAGAAAAGGGACTGTTCCATGTGTCCTACGAAGAGGCAGGTATACCTTGGGCCCATGGGGTTGCCCATGGCCACCCGCATAGTCTGTAGGAAGTGGGAGGAGTTAAAGGAGAAGTTGTTCAGGGTAAGGATAAGTTCCGTTAAGTAGATGATGGTGTTGGTGGAGGGGGACTGGTTGGGCCTGCAGGAGAGGAAGAAACGGAGGGCTATAATCAAAGCAGCTAATGGAGTGCTGGCCTTTATATCTACAGGACTGGAGTATAAGGATGAAGAAGTTATGCAATTGTTATACAAAACCCTGGATAGACCTTACTTGGATGTACTGAGAGCAGATCCAGGCACTACACCTTAGTAAATATATACTGGCCTTACAGACAGTACAAAGTATGTTTTCAAGGAAGATACCTGGGCTTCAGAGGTTAAGTTATTATGAGAAATTATAAAAATTAGCCCTGTTTTCCCTAGAACACAGAATGTTATGTGGTGACTGAAGTCTTCATGATATTAACAGGAAAAG